CCCCCCCCCGCGGACTGAGGGGACTGGGCACTGCCATCTTGTGGCTATGGGTGCCATCATCTTTGTGACGACATGATGGTCAATTTGCATATTCCTTCTTTATTAGATAGGATATCAGAGAATAGTTGTGCACCATGCTAAATATTTTATGTATTTTATTTCACTTATGGTAAAGTCAAATGTTAATCATAAAGTCAGATGAGGAATTATTATCATCATTTAACAGATAAGGATTCAGTATGTAACAGAGCTTGGATTGGGACCTGGATCTGTCCAATTCACAAACACCAGAGAAATCTATTTACCAACATTTGGTCCACAGAAATAATTTTGGTATAACACCTATGGGGGTGATACGTACAGCCACCATTTTTATGATTGTCCTTTTGTTTGTTTTTACAGGAATTTTCAAGATGAATTATACTGAGTCCAGCCCATTGGCAGAATCGCCTGCGATAGGTTTTACATCTAAGTTAGAAAGTATTATACCTGTGCCTTCCAATGAGACCACCTGTGAAAACTGGAGAGAAATACATCATCTAGTTTTTCATGTAGCAAATGTTTTTTTTGCAATTGGGTTGGTTATTCCAACTACTCTTCACCTCCATATGATACTTCTTAGGGGGATGTTAGCTATAGGTAAGAAACCTGACTGAGATTTTATGTAGCTTCTATAGCTGGCACCTGATGGGTTTTGCACTGGGAGCTTTAGAGAATTCCGTCAGGTCGATAGCATACCAAAAATATGACTTTGTTATTGACTTAGCAGTGTATCAAGTAACTTAGAACATAGGCCTTTTATAAGCCATACCCTTATTTTAGGTAATCCTTTGTATGTTTTCATGTGTTCTTTAGATTTCCCAGATATCAGAAAATCCATTCCTGTGTAAGAGTGTGAATTTTGGAGCCAGATTTTATTATTTGGATCCTGGTTCCAGCACTTGCTAACTGTGTAACTGGAGCAAGTGATTTAACCTCTCTATACTTCAGTTTCCACATGAGTCCAGTAGGGTAAAAATAATACCTCCTCCTAGGGTTGTTGTGAGTATGTGTGTGTCTACACATTTAACTTACAGTAGTGCTTGGCACAGTAAGTACTAGATAGTCTTCAATATTATTATTTGAATAGGCATATACTTGCTATGGGCAGGAAGCAACATTAGGAACAAGAGCAATTCCCAGACACAATAGTTTAAGTAAAACTTTTATGACAGGCTCCAGTAATCCTGATGAAGCAGATTAAATTGATTCACATCAAAATACTAAAACAATTGAATTTATTATTTTAGCCAGTGATTCATTTTTTTTTACATATTTTTATTGATTTCAGAGAGGAAGGGAGAGGAAGAAAGAGATAGAAATATCAATGATGAGAGAGAATCATTGATTGGCTGCCTTCTGCAGGCCCCACACTGGGGATCGAGCCCACAACCCAGGCATGTGCCCTTGACCAGAATCGAACCTGGGACCCTTCAGTCCAGGTCAATGCTTTATCCACTGAGCCAAACAGGCTAGGGTTTAGCCAGTGATTTTGGACAGATTACTCTCTGTGATTATTTCCCTAATGATTCATTTATTCAGGTGCGTTTTTGAGCACCTGTAATTTGTCAGACAAAGATTGAAGAAGGCAGTCTCCCTTCTTGAGAAAGACACTCTTTGGGGGCCAGAGAACAGATGGGTGGCCATATGTGATGCAGGGGTGCCCAGTGCCAGGGAGAAATGGAGAGAGTGATAGGCTTAGCATGATGGTGGAGCAAGGTCTCACTGAGGAAATGACGTAGGAGCTGTCTTTTGGATGAGCAGGATTCTTTTGAGAGTGAGTGTGTGGTATCCAGGTAAAAGGCACAGGGGAGAAGGCATATTTAGGGAGAATGAACACTAGCTCATTGTACCTCAAATATATGAAATATGGCATGGAATGGCCAATGAGCTAGAATGGAAGGGTAGCTAGAAGGTAGCTTATGGGACTTCCTTGTCTGTGTTACCTCTGAGTAAGATAGGGATTGCAGCAGGAAAGCTGAGTGTTGAATGGAAAAAACAAATAACATACCTTATAAAAATCAAAAGCAAAAAATGAATTTGAAGACAGAGTTTTGGAGGTGGACTAAGGAGATAATTTAATATCTTATAAATGAAGAAACTGAGGCCTGGAGAAGTTAAATGACTCATCAAAACGAAGGCTGGGAGATAGTGGCCTAACCAGGACTATAATTCAGGTCCTCCAGCTTTCCAGCCAGCCCTCCCATTAGGTTATCCTGTCTCATTTAAGTAATAGTTTACATTTTTTCAAATTTAGCTATGAAATATTTAAAGAACATTTAAAGTTTTACATTTCATGCTGTTATTTAGATGCCCCAAATTATTCTGATGAAAAGAAATTGCAAATGAATAACTTTTTAACATGGGAGGTTAGTTTTTATGTGTGTGTCATTGATATATTTGTATAGTATTGGTTATTTTATTTTAAATTAACAAGATATATGTTGATGCTCTCACCATAAAATTAATCAAAAGAAGCTATTGATATTTGATTTAAAGTAAGAGACTCAATAAGGAAAACTAGGAAGATTGTCATAGGTGAATGGATAACCACCAAATGGTTAAAAGATATTCAGATGGGTAAAATATTCAAACTCACCAGAAATTATGGAAATGCAAAATATAATTGTACAAATTGTACAAAATTTCTCACTATCAAATTAAGAGTTTTCAAATTTTATAATATTGACAGTTTGATACTTAACATTCCCAACTAGTAGGATTATAAGTTTTAGAAACCTTTAGGAAAACAATTCTTCAATGTCACCAAAAGCTATGAAGTTCATTCCCTTGACTTACTGTCAGATAATCTACCCCTAAGCAAACAGTCACAAAAACAGATCAGTTTTTACATATAAAGATATTTTGGCTACTTATCAAAAATTATACCTCAAACAAATCTCATCTGTCCACCAATAAGGAGGTGATTGAATAAATGATGATCTAATCAGTTACAGTCATTAAAAACTGCATATGCTATCTCATCTCTAAAATTAAATAAAATTGTAATACACCTTATCTCAAAAGGTTGCTATGATAATTAAGTAAAATAAATGTATCAATAAAGATAGTTCTAACTCCAAAGGACTAACCAAATACTAGCAATTATTTTCCTCTTGGAAAAATTCAGAGGACACTGCTTTGTATTTTATTTATTGTCCATAGGTTAGTGATAATAAACTTGTAAAACAATCAGTAGCTTTCTGTAATCCAAACTGCTGCTTACACTAATATGAATAAACTAGAGGCCTGGTACACAAAATTCGTGCACGGGTGTGTGTGTGGGGGGGGGGGGGGGCGTCCCTCAGCCCGGCCTGCACCCTCTCACAATCCAGGAGCCCTCAGGGGATGTCCAACTGCCAGTTTAGGCCCGATCCGGGCCTGCCTGTCTGATCGCCCCTTACCACTCTGCCTGCCTGATTTTCCCTAACTGCTCACCTACCTGCCTGATAGCCCCTAACCGCCTCTGCCTTAGCCCCTGCCGCTACGGCTTTGTCCAGAAGGACGTCCGGAATGACATCTGGAAGGTCGTTTGGCTGTCCAGTCTAATTAGCATATTATGCTTTTATTATTATAGACTAGAGGCCTGGTGCATGAATTTGTGCACAGGTGGGGTCCCTTGGCCCGGCTGGCAATTGGGGCCATCTCACCCAGTCCCGATTGGGGCCAGCTGGCAGGGGGGTGGAGGGGGAGAAGGACCACAGGAGGTTGGCTGTAGGAGCGCACTGACCACCAGGGGGCAGCTCCTGCATTGAGCGTCTGCCCCCTGGTGGTCAGTGCACATCATAGTGACCGGTCAACTGGTCATTCAGTTGTTTGGTCGTAGATGAGTCTTGATAACACTTAGAATTATAAAAGACTTATTTTGAATATTTTAATTATGTATCTTAAAAATAAAAATAATTTTAGATTCACCTGCCAAAAAAACACCCACCCATGTACTCAAAGACTTCTAATATAATGGAAAAATTGCTGCAATAAGTGACAGAGATGTTTTAAAATTATATATGGTAGTTCTGCCATCAGGTAACAATGCATAAACACTGTAAAGAAGTATTAAATATCACTAGTGGTTTTCTCTAGTAGAATTACAGATTTTAAAAAATATTTTCTAACTTTACAAATTTTCTGCAACAAAGCATGTTTTTCTTTTTTGATAATCAGACCAAAAAAATGAAAATGTGATGTTTGGCTTAGGTATTTCTAGGATGTGTTTGGTTTATTTTATAATTTATTAAGCTTCATGCTGACGCTGTTCTAAACATGTAACATATTTAATTTTGTTATTCAACAGGATGCTCCTTTTACATCATGTGGGCCACACTCTACCGATGTGCCTTGGATATCGTGATCTGGAACTCAGTGTTCCTCGGTGTCAATATGTTGCATCTTTCATATCTTTTGTTCAAGAAAAGACCGGTAATTACTAAAAATTAATTAGCAAGGAAGAGATTTTAAAGCTTAAAAGCTTTTAGAGCACTTTGTTCAGACTTGAGAACAAGCATCTAACATCGTTAGTCCCTTCAGTATCATTCCGGATGAGACTTACTCTTTATATAAATGCCTGAAAGTGAAACATTTGAATGCCATGGAATGTGTTCTACAGATGGGTTTTTTAAGTTTTTTAAATCATTAGGGCAGTTTAGACATGAGACAACATGATAGCATTCTCTCTTTTTTCATCATATAACTTCATTATTTCTTTTGTGTATTGATATCCAGATGTTACTTGGGAATATCTTTGCCTATTTATAAAATTATTTATAGGCAACTTCACTAAACATATTAGCGATTCACAAATACCTCATGCTATTTTTTCATGCTAGTTTTTAAATAGAATGACTATATTTTTCTTATGCTCAAAATATTCATTTAAGGATATCACCACTTTTGGTGAGTTGTCATCAAAACACTAGGATTTAACTTCTTTTCAATTCTGATTTATCTTGCTGTGTTTCCTTGGTTATATCAAGAACAAAAAGGTGTACATGGAACAGGAAAACAGCAAGGCTCCTAGAATTCACTCCATACTTGTTTACTGACTGTGCAAAGCACACGCAAATACTCAGTAAAGTAAAAAATACAGTGCTTGCCCTAATCTTATGTTCAAGGCCAGACGTGTGTGGAAAACTGTTAGAAAACAAGACAATTCCTGGGAATTTACATACGATATATATAATAGACATTCCATGAGATTATAGGCCACTCAGTTTTCCCCAGTACATTACTTTTCTCTAGGTTATGCTGTATAATGAACAACCTGAAAGTCCCAGTGATATGCACCGGCAACAGGTTTTTTCTCACCCACCTCATATGTGGACTCGGGCAGCTGTGTGTCAACCGTGACTCTGTTCTATGTGTCTTCTTCATTTCAGAGTCTCTGCTGAAGCAGCAGGTTCTGCTTGCACATGCATTCTCATAGCAGAGAGAGAAGTACAAGAGACCCACTGTCTCTTAAAATTTCTGCTCCAAAGGGGTATATGTCAATTCTGTTCACATTTTATTGGCCAAAGCAAGTGACATGGTTATGCCTGATAATGTGGGGGTAGGATGGGGTTAGGGGATGTATAATCCTCTTAAGGGGTAAGATCAGTAAGTAGTTGGGAATAATAATATTATCTATTACACTTATTGTTGTATTCCCTGTTCCTATCAACCATGATTGGTACATAGTACGTGCTCAAAAAACATTTGATGACTGGATGCTTCCAAAGAGAACAATTAAGAGGGCTTCATGAAGGAATTGGGGCTTGGGTTAAGACATGCAGATTACGAATATGAGTCAGTAGACTTTTCAGTTCATATGTTCATTACTGTGCTACTCTGGCTAGTGTAGATACTGGAAGTGGGACATATATGTGAATAAGTTATTTTAAACACATTATGAGCACTCCAGAGTGGAGGAGGGACATGGCAGTAATAATGAGGATTACAGTTTCTGAATTTAAGAATTTGCTGGAACCCAAGTTTTGAACATAAGGTTCAGAAGTTGCTGATGTGATGGCAGCTCCCAATGAGTAAATCACTTAGTATCTGTGCTTTTGTTTTTTCTTGGACGATAAGCCTCCTTTTTTGAAAAATATAAATGCTGGTTCTTCATTGCAATTAAACAGCAGGACAAGTACTCATTGGGATGTATAAGCTTCATAGCGTGACTGCCATAGGTCTTATTGGGATGGATGATCATTTGAACCCCAAAGTTCATTGACATGCACTCTAGTTTTCCCAGACTAATGCTGGGCCCAAAGATGGGTGTGACCTGGGCCTTGGTTGTCTCACAACAGAGGCAGTGAGTCATTTTGCTTTTCTCTTTCTCCAGTAGCTAGTCCTACTCACCAGTGGGTTCTCTATTCTACAGATTTTATTTTAGCTTAGCTTAAAACTGCTACTCTGAAACCTTTTTACACTCTTCACTTTGCTTCAGAATGAATAAATGAAAAGCAATGTTTGCAGCTGTGGGTGATTGCCTTCCTGTATCGATGCCTTAAATGATAATTACATGTAGGTAAAACACCTACTGTATGTATTTTCATAAATGTGTTTTGACATTGATTCCTATTGTTCATTTTCTGCTACATATTTCAAAGTTAGTGTAATTTCTGTGAAATAATATTGTTCTAAAAATGAAAAGGTTTTGTGTTGTTTATAGAAAATGCTAAGGTTGGGAAGGTGAATGCTGTAATAACATTCACAACCTCCACGGTTGCTTTATAGCAGCTAGGGAGAGGTGTGATCAATAGTGCAAATCTTCTCCATATGCTCTCTGCAAAAATGCCCTTTTAGCATCTAAACCGATATCATCACTTACTCACTGTGTGAGATTCCACTGACTGAAATACGGAACGGTGAGGGTCTGCATTACAAATTTATTCTCAGAAAGGTATTTGGACCACAGAAGCCACCGTTTTGATATATCTGCATTAGTACAGCATCTGTCCTGGCTGCATTTCAGGTCAAGATTGAAAAGGAACTCAACGGCGTCTACCGGCGATTGTTTGAACCACTCCTAGTGCCTCCAGATTTGTTCAGAAGATTAACTGGACAGTTTTGTATGATCCAAACCTTGACAAAGGGCCAGACTTATGCTGCAGAGGATAAAACCTCAGTCGACGACCGTCTGAGTATTCTCCTGAAGGGAAGGTAAGTGATCTTCTCATGGCCCCTCAGTAGTGAGTGAATGGAAGGGGATATTGTCAAATAATGGAGGAAGCGGTGGCAGACTTTGTTGGTGGGGAACTTGCATTTTGGAACACTACCGAGCGACATGTTAGTTACCTGGAATTTGCTGCTCTCAACCTTGCTGGTGTCAGGACTTTCAGGTGTGAACATTGTTCATCTTTTTTTAGCTTTTATTTAAAGTTAATGAATCAAAATTGAAGTAGGTTTAAATTAGGCATTAAAGTTCAAGAAGCTTGTGCATGTTTCAGAGGTGATTATTTTTTATCACAAATATAACTTCTAGGAATCTCAGCCTTCTAAGAAGAGCCTAGTGTATATTGTTCTGGAATAATAGTTAATACCACCCTTTCTCTCTCAAAAGTTCCTGAGTTTGAGTATGGTCACTGTAGGTATAAGAGCGATGGTAGCCATTGGAAGGCACATGTATGGGTCAATGCTAGAACCTGTCTTCTTTTTCTTATTGTTGGTGAAATTTATTTTGAAATAAATACTTGTCTTTGGGAAGTACTTTTAATTATGTCAGTCATCTGTGGAGTCTTTATAACCTTAGTATAAAATCAAAACCCATAAGATTATGGAGATTTTAAGGATTGTCATGTTATTTTGTGAGATATTATGCATTTATTAACATTAATTTCTGTTATCAGAATGAAGGTCTCCTATCGAGGACATTTTCTGCATAACATTTACCCCTGTGCCTTTATAGATTCTCCTGAATTTAGATCAACTCAGATGCACAAAGGTGAAAAATTCCAGGTATGTTTTGGCATGGGGTTTTTTGAGGATATTTATTTACTTTATCAATTTATTTTAAATTGAGGTATAGTTGACATATAACATTATATTAGTAAAACATAATGGTTCAATCTTTGTATATATTGCAAAACAACACCCCAACAAGTCTAGTTAACATTCATCACCACACATAATTACATTTCTTCTCTTGTGATGAGGATTTTTTAAAATCCGGCATGATTTTCAAGAAGACTGAAACTAGTTCATGTCTCATTAAAGTCCAAAGGATATTACAGATGTACAGTTTAGGTTTTTTGCATGGTTTCAGCCATGCCCTGCTCCCACCCTGCCCGAGTAACTGGCTTCAGTAACAGGACAACTTGTTGAAGTGATGGACACTTACTAGAAGGTCTTGGACAGGTTCGCTAACTGGTTGCAATGCTGTTCCCAAGCAGTTGAGCTTAAGCTACAGAAGAAAGCAAGTGCTATATATCCGGGCTCCTCCAATTCACGCTCTCATCTTGTGTTTGCGAGAGTCAGCTGTGCACTGAGGTTTATGTTCCTATTGTTATCGTCAGTCACCACCTTTCCAGCTAGAACAGGGCCACTTCTTCTTTCCTCTGACCTCCTTACAATTTTTTCAATTTTTTCCAAAGCCCGACTTTTATCTGGTGCATCCATTTCTCTTTTAGTGTTTAGTAGCAAGTGCTTTTACACAATAGCTCAGTCTCACAGGATCCTGAAGAGAGTGGGATTTGGAGAGAGGCTGGGAATTGAACCTCCTTCTTTTCTAGAAGCAAATGGCCCCCTGCGAGGCCTGGGATATAACATGCATTATCATTTCTACTGAACTTCGAATTACTGTACTTATAATTGACCAAAAAAAGAATTCCTACTAGTAGTTACAGTTCTCTTTCTTCTTGGGGTCTGGAATTGGGTAGTTGACAAATGTTCCTGATAATTGCTGTGAAGATTCCAGAACGCAACCCAAATAGAGGTACCATAGCTGGGTGAAGGGTATGCATTCAGCCTTTCCAAACACCAGTTGGCTATTCTCTGCATAGAGCCTGGGGTAGAATTTCTTAACTGATTAATGGATAACAATTACTCCAGCATCATCCAACCTGTATCCTGTACAGTTGGTTCAGACTCCATCAGAGTGAGCCCTCCGGAGAGATTGTGCACAAAATGTTCCCATTGGCAGTTCCTCAAGAGTAAAAATAGCTGTTGCACATCTGTGTAGGAGTACATCACCTCTTAATGAAGTAAGCTCCCAAATGAAAAATGTCTCATGTTCCCATGGCCAGCGTCTTACTAATTGTGCCCATGGCAGAGGACACTTGAAATTGTCAGTGGTAACTGTTCCACTCCGTACTCTTTACCTGCTAATCTGACTTTTCTCTAACTCTGAACAGTTAGTTACAAGTATTCGAACAAGGAGCTACTTCCTTTACATGTTTGTTTCGGTTTGTTCTTTGTCAGTGGTGCTAATGAATTATACAATAGGGTGAAAGGAAGAAGGAAAGGCAGGTGGACTTGACTGTCCCTTGAGATTGCATGGCAAATGTTGTTCAGGGACAGGGGGTAACTGTGATGATAGACACAGTGGTAGAGCTGAGAAACAGATTCCGAACTTGCGGCTGCTCCAGACCAAAGTTCCTGTGAAACTGCTGTTTCCGGTTCTAGCCCATTCGGCAACTCCCTCAGACACCCTTGTTCTTGTGTATGGTCTTCTCATTGTGTGAGGTGTAGAGTGGCTTGGAATCTAAGGTTGAGGGGGCTGATCCAGGACCTTGAGGTAATCGCACCAAACCTGGCTGTAAATGCTTTAGTTGAACTCTACCTGAAAGAAATGACTCCGTGTCTTCCTTTGCCATGTTTGCTTTTATTTCTTCAGTAAAATTCTTCACAAGAACTCAAGTATGGCTCTGCTGAGGATACCTTAATGCCTCAAGAAGTGACTTCTTTTACAAAAGCCTTAAATATTTCAATATTGATTTATAAAAATCCCTCATTAAAGTATGTTTCACTTGACTGTTGTGACAGGAAATCATTAACCAGCCACTTCTGACTTAATACCTGCTCTTATGGACTTGTAAGTCACTCATACTTACTGCAGTGGTAGCTTATTATTCGAATACTATTGTTAAGTTTAAATTTAATAATAATTTAAACATGTTTAAAGCGTTTTTTAACCATCAATAAGAAATAGATTTGCCAAGCAAATTATAGTATCATATAAGTACCATTGCCTCCATGGAAATGAGGTTATTAAAATGGTTGGAAAGAAGTGAAATGCCTTATCTATCACCTAGATACAATTTCTGCTCCTGGATGATTTCCAACTCCTTTTTTATCTCCTTGTCCCACTGTACATGCATTATATTTTCCAAAGTCATGGATGACATCTTTGTAAAATGAAGGCATCGCAACTCACCAAACCCTTTCTTCAGCACTTAGGTGCCTGTCTGGGCCGCTGTGAGTACCTGGTGCTCACCTTTCTCTAATAATTGGTATAGTGTATTATCCAGTCACCTTGCGTTTACTCACCAATCCCCTGCTGTTTCTGGGAACTCCCAAGGCCTGGCTTGACCTTATACTTCTCATCCTATAAATATTTTATTTTTTTGTCATACATCTTTACTTATTGGCTTCCTCCACTAGAATATCAACTTTATGACATGTGCTTAGCTGGTCTTAGGGACTTTCAGTGGACTGTGAGCCAACCTTATGGCCACTTGATTACTTCCTATTTGGCCATCTTGAAGAATATTGGGTGGTGGTGGGGAAAGAATATTGGACATGCTGGGTAGGGTTGGCCTGGTGGGAAAATATGCCTGGGCTGAAAGTCAGAAGTGTTCACTCCACCACTAGTTAACGTGTTCATGAATACGTTTTTTGCTGCTTCTCACTTGGCATCTGAAAAATAGGGGAGAATGTAACCTGTTTTATCTTAAAGGCAGTTTTGAGGATCCATTTATATGATAGATATAAATGCACATTAAATGTTTAAAAGTACAATCTATATACATATATATATATATATATATAAAAGTACAATCTATATATATATAAAAGCCTAAGTGACCATTCAACCATTGGACCGATAGCTATGATGAGCACTGACCACCAGGGGGCAGATGCTCCCCCCAGTAGGTTAGCTTGTTGCTGGGGTCTGGCTGATCAGGACTGGGTAAGACGGGCTGGACATGCTCTGAAGCCCTCCCGCGGTCCCTCCCCGGCCCTGGTTTGTGCCCTCTTGCAATCTGGGACCCCTCAGGGGATGTTGGAGAGCCAGTTCCGTCCGATCCCCACAGGCCAGGCCGAGGGACCCCACTGGTGCACGAATTCAGTACACTGGGCCTCTAGTACATATATAAAATAAATGACATTATATTTGACTGTCAGTCCCTAGTCATTCTCTACCACTGTCCCCTTTCTATATTTGTCAATACTGCCACTTGAGGGTGTCATATTTCATTTATTTACTATCAGCTTCCTTCACTAGCATGCAAGCTTCACAGGGTAAGATCTTGTCTTTCTTGTTCATCATTGTGAGCTCAGTGCCTTGAACAGTGTCTGGAATTAAATACATGCATAATAATATATGTTGAAAGAATGAATGGATTTTAGTATTTTATGAGGTCACAGAGCTGCTAACACATTTCTTAAATTCAATGTATTTGATTTTGGAGATTCCCACTTTTGAGATAATAAATAATTACAATTTTTTTTTCCTAGGAGTATTGACCTACTTTTTAAAGTAGCCAAACTCTCTGATTTGTAAAGATCAGATTTCAGCTACTGAGAGAAGCTGGGTTTTCCGTTGTCTCTCTTAGTAGACATAAATAACCCCTTGTCTTCTGAAATAGGTTTAATTTTGTGACTAAAAAAGGGGAAAGAGCTCCTTTGGAAATATTTGCTGTGAGGCCCAGATATTACTTCATATCAGTTAAACAAGCCTTTATTAATTTCCTACCTGGATAGGCCTGGGGTTTCGTGTTGAGATAGAAAAATGGTTTCTTCCTTCAACAGTATTCGTGTTCATTTGCTAATTGCTTCACATGATAAACATGCACTGAGCACCACTCTGTGCTAGAAACAGACATCCAGACATGAAGGTGCACCGTCCCTCCTGTCATCGCGCTCAGGAGAGACAGGTGTGTCAGGATGCAGGGCTGTGAGTGCCACCGAAGCGCAGAGAAGTACTAACTGATGGAAGGGGACCTGCCTGGGAGGAAGAGCTTCCTGCCTCTAGCTTCCCTCACCCTGGAGGAAGGATTTATTGGGGGAATACTTGAACTCTCTGTAGTGCAATTACAGTACTTTCCCACTTTTCTGTGTCATAAGACTTAAGGAAAGGGTACGGTTTCCCAGTGCTGGTCTAACGGCAGGATCTCTGTGTGTCCCCAGAGGGCTGCACTGATCGGAGCTAGTCTTGAAAGGTCACACTCAGTAAATAGTATGAGAGAAAGACCCAGAGAAGGCCCCTGCTGGCCGTGTTTGTTAGTAACAGCCGAGGCCCTAAAACTGATTCATGAGTCCGTTTTCTCATTCTCTCCTGTGTGTTTGCAGACTTAGCTAGAGAAGGTCTTTCATCTATAACTTGGCCTCACGAATCTTACCTCAGTTTTTGTTTTGTTTTGGTTTTTTTGCTTGAAGTGTATTCTTCCACTTCTGTGGTAATCTTCATGGTGTAAAGAAATATTTAGCTATAAATTATACGTCCAACTGGAACACCAGCCTTACACACTCTACAGCAGTGCTATTGACAGTGGCCACTCTTCTGTCACCAGACCTCACGAAACAACAATAAAACTCGGAGAATTTGCTTTTATTTAGTCTCCAGACCGCTTGGTTTTAAACATAATTTTACACATGGTTATAGAAGCTTAGGTGTATGGATCTTATTTTAATTTAGCTAATATGATAAATCATTGCTATCATAATATCCACTAAATTATTCTACTCTGCTCTTCCCCAAATTACTGTAGTCATAATTCATATACATAGATGTACTTTTTTCTTTCTCTGTTTCATTGTCAGGTCACCATTGTTGCAGACGATAACTGCAGATTTTTATGCTGGTCAAGAGAAAGATTAACTTACTTCCTGGAATCCGAACCTTTCCTGTATGAAATATTTAGGTATCTTATAGGAAAAGACATTACAAATAAGCTCTACTCATTGAATGATCCCACCTTAAATGATAAAGTAAGTTTTTCTGGGTGTGTTTATTTTGTTAAGTAAATATGTACAGTGAGGTATACCTCACTTAATACAATATATAGTTTCCTGAATTTCCATTAATTAGTCAAATGTTAAGTGAAGTGGGAATGCTTCTGGGACTCATTTCTCAAGAGTGAGGACATATTTTGTAATGATCACATTTGCCATTTTGGAGTGAGGTGTTGTGTTTCTAAGTGTCAGGGACCTCCATGGATGGCGAGGAGGTGCTATCCTCTTCATAAAGAGTCTGTGAAACAGTCTAAGGAAGGTGCCTAGTGAGTGGTGGGGGAGTGGGGGGCAGAGCGAGCGGGGTGCGGGGTAGGGGGGCAGGGCAGTAGGGAGGTTGCAGACAAAGCAATGCTGACGAACCCCAGCGAGCAGGAAGTTGGCATTTTAACCCTGGGGTCTTCCAGTCCCGCACATCCTCCTGGTCAGCCTCCTTCCCTGGAAGCCCACACGTGGCTAGAGAGGTACAGGGTGGAGGCCTGTAGCAATTTAGTTCGGGATTTCAGAGCTATATAGATCTTTTGCAATTTGATCTTCATTTCCCCACGTTTACTTAGAAGGAAATTAAAATGATCACAGAAGAGAACTTGGAAAACATTGTTTCTGTGATAAGTACTGTTGTTCTCTGGGGACTATGAGTATAGGCGTGTGCTCTCTTAAGTCATCTTGTCTAGGCTGTTTATCAAATTAGGTTGGTGCTTACTATTATTCAAGATTAATAACTAGACTAATGAGTATATTAAATGTTTTATCTATAGTAATATCCCGAAAATAAAAATTATAGCTGGCATTTATTGGGCACTTACTTTGTACCAGGTAGACTTTTTTCCAAGGAAAAGTAAATGCACTGATAGGGAATACTGTCTAAGTCCCATAGATGTCAGAAATCTTGAAACTTTGCTTTCAGAAGGCCAAAAAGTTGGAGCACCAGCTCAGCCTCTGCACGCAGATCTCCATGCTGGAAATGAGGAACAGCATAGCCAGCTCCAGTGACAGCGAGGACGGCTTACACCAGTTCCTCCGGGGCACCCCCAGCGTGTCCTCTCTCCGTAAGTTAGCCCAAAACTGATACATGTCGGGATTCTGACGGATGGCACTGGAAATAGACAGATGACAACTTTGACCAGAAAAATAACTTTGCCAGTAACTCTTTGGCAACCTAAAGGCATCCTTAAAAATAATCAGATCTTTTCTGATTATTTTAATAATATCAGCTAAAATCCAACTTTAGATCTCTTATTTCTGTTTCAGAACGTGTTCACTGTTTTTGTCACCTACTTTTTTAAATACTGGTTCACTGGAATAATGGGAAAGGGTCCTTATGGTTTGCTGGGTATTCGGCTTTGTTGTTTTCATGATTTTAGTCCTGGTGAAAGCTTAGATCCAGCCATGTGTTAAAAACAGTAGCAAGCAACTCCTGGGTGTTTTACTGCTGGCTGGTTATCTCAGTGTGAGACCAGGTAATGGAATATCCCTGAAATGAAGGAGGCCACTCAACACCCCTGTGAGTTACTCATTCACACATCACCAAGCAGTACGTTTTGCAAGATCTCTCCATAGTTTAGACTGTTTTAAGACATTTTAAGTACAACTGATGACACAGATATTGAAGATTAGTAAGTAAAATGAGAGAAGCTAGGTTATTTTAAGAATTAAATGCTTAAAATTATTTTACGCATTATTCCAAGGGTGGTAGTAAAAGAACTTCGAACAAATTCATGAGAAATAGCAAAAAGACAAAGTCTCCCATTGCATAAACTAAAAACTATTACTATTTCCAAGTGTATGTTAATCCAGAGTAACTTTTAGGTAAATATAGATAAACATTCAGCAATCCTAAGTGTCTGTGTAAATGAGTAACTTTGGATGCTTTGGATAAATTGGATTAAAGATTTTAACTATACTTTCAACTGACAAAGGATTGGCAAGCCCATATAATTGGTGCAAGCCTCCAAAGCAAAGTCTAGGCATAGAAATACTTTGTGTACCTAAAGGAGATTTCAGGAGCAACGCAAATGAGAAATTGGAAATGATTGTATTTTATTCTAAAGTTACTTTTTGAAAGTAACAGGTTAACCAAAGCCTGCAGTCTACTAGCATGTCAAATGTACTGAAACAATTCAGTGCTCAAGAAGTGTTTTCAAATGGACCCATTTAGTTATATGTGTAGTGATTAATTACTACGAAAGATCAGCAGAAAGGGAATTATAGTTAAATATTGTATGTGGATTATTTTTCCTGTAGAATAGCTTGTTTTTGTAGTTCTTACTTTTGTTTAGTTCCACAGTCTTGCTTACGAAGCACTGAGAACCAGTGGTATATAGCATGAGCATTTGTTTTCTTAAAATCAGTTTTGCTTTACTGTAGTATTTTATTGTATAATCTAAATATTTTGGGGATAAAAACATTTTAGGGGGAAAAAAGCTTCTGTACAGTATGTTGTTTAAATAGAATTAAAACATGTTTTCAAGATTAACATCTGTATTGTACTCGCCTCTGGAAACCTGTTTTCTGGTGCTCAGTGGATGGATCACACATGGGCATACAAACCTGGCTCTTGCTCTAATAATTATTAGCTGTGTGCCTTGTGGGAAGTCGCATGACCTTTCTCATCCGACATGAACTGTCATATCTGGTCACAACTCCTGCTCCGTTTCCTTCCCTCTTCCCTACAGTAAACCAGGAGTGTAATCCAGCCACTCCTGCACGGCTAACTCAGGCTTCAGTGTCTGTGAAGACGTGCGCTGCCCTTCAGGGCAGGGTCACATTTTCACTTCTCATTTCCTTGTTCCCTTGTCTCACTAGACTTTAGTACTTTGCTGTACAAAAAAAGAAAGAAAGAAATGTGTGCAACCTGCTTACGTTGCTTATTTAATTATTTAGCCTCAGATTTATTATGCAAGATCTCACATATTGATACCAACGCGTCTAGCTACCTATGCATGCATATTGTTGAGTGTGTGTGTGAATTACACAGCACATCCTCGTTCATGCCTGCTCCCTTTGACCAGTCCTCGTTCTGAATCTCTTGGCTTCCCTCCTGCAGTTTTAATGAAAGACATCAGGGCTTGAGCACAACACTGACACAAATTATGAATTACTAATTCTATCATATAATTCATTAGAAACTGGTTAGTTCCTGTTTCTCTTACGTGTTAGCTCAGAAGTACTGAAGGCTGTTGTTTTTCCTTTGCCAGTCCCATCAATATGCCTCCTACTTTTCCATTACAAATTACATTCCTTGTAAAACAGAATGCAGAATCAATCTCCTAGGACCGTTGGGCTGAAATAACAAAATCTATCACATTTTGAGCATGTGTGAGGTCTTAGTAAAGGGTAGGTCCCTAAAACTAGTGACTAAGCTCTTATTATTCGAGTTTCTGATGTGCAAGTGAACAGCCTGGCAGCTGCTCTCAAAATGCTGATGGAGAGAAGGGAACAAACGTCAACTGACAGTAGCAGCTAGTATTTTCCAGGTTCTCTCTGTGCATCACCACATGGACTAGGCACTGGACTCCTGCACAGAGGGGGGCAGGTGAGTTTGTGCTAGATGATGAGGCACCAATAGGCAGTCCCCAGCTCTCTGAGGAAGAGGCTGCTTTCTTGCTCACGTGCACATCGAGTGCTGCTCCAGGCCCGTGTCCAACTCACTCTGGGATGTGGAAGGAGCAGTCACTGTTTGGGTCACTGCCACTCCTGGCAGAGGGAAGACAGTGTGGCAGAATCATGTCATGGCTCTTACAGCTCCGCCACTTCCGCTCATGTTCTCTGGACCAGAGATGTCATTTGGCCAGAACCACCATTAGTGAATGGATCTTGAATCCTCCTGCGTGAGGGAGGGAAAGCAGGCATTTTGACAATAACACAGTCTATCACGGTGAGTATTGTTTCACTTTACAGGGGAGGAAATGGGAACTATGAGATGTTTATTCACCTCATAGTTGGGGGTGAGGGGGAGGTCTGGATTGCAAACCTAGGTATCCTGTGTGATTCCAAAGCCCATGCTGTTAGAACATATTGCCTCTGTGTATTCAAAAGAAAAGAAAAATGCATATACCATTTGACTAGCCCTTTATAGTTTAGAGGTCACTTTCACCCCGTTCTTGCATTTGAACCTGCCAGCTCTGCAGGAGGCACAGCAGCTGCTATTGTTCACCCCTCCGCAGGGGAGTCCCCTACACTCAGGAGAAGGTGGCGCTTGCCCAGAGCCACGGCTTCCCCTGCGGCCTGCTTCATTGGAGAAACCTCCCACCCTCCCACCCTTCATTATAACCACACAGTGCTGCAAATAGGTGTTCCTGGACTGGTTAATTTCCATTTCGCTGAAATGTTCCTCATATTCTTTGTATGAGGGTTCTAATAGGAACATTTGAAATTAACCATTTGTATTCTTCAGACTTTTAGCTTTTGGTTAGCTTTCACTTTGCCTCGCATGTGCTCACAGAATTACAAGCAATGCTACTCTCTAAAAATTAGATGTATTTCATATATTTTTCCTAATTAAACAACTTTTACATTCCAGTTAGTCATTAACTCAAATAAAGTAGTAGAGCTAAACATTAAAATGCAAATCAGTATCAGCACATATCATTTGCATTTGGTTGATACATCCCTAAAGTCTCTTAATCTCTGAGCGTCCCTTTTATCTTTGGCTGTCTCTCTCTGTGTGTGTTTCTGCATTTTTGTTTTGTTTTGGGGTTTTTTGTTTGTCCTATAGAACATTGATTTTTTTTTTTTAATCCTTACCTGAGGACACTTTCACTGATTTTGAGAGAGAGAGAGAGAGAGAGAGAGAGAGAGAGATGAGAGAGAAACATCGATCAGTTGCCTCCCGCACATGCCCTGACCAGGCCCAGGGACTGAATCCACCACTTAGGTGTATGTCCTGACCAGGAATCGAACCCGGGATCTTTTGGTGACTAGGACGGTACTCCCACCAACTGAGCCACACCAGCCAGGGCAGAACATTGATTCTTAGACATAAAGGAGTATATGAATCAAGTGGAGCTCTTATTAATGCTTCTAATGCAGATGGGCAGACAGGGGTGGGGCCTGGGATTCCACCTGGTTAGCAGATACCACGTGATGCCAATGTGTCCGGTCCTGAACTACACATTTAGCAGCTAGGCCATAGCGTTCCCTACATTTTGGGATTTTGTTGATTGCATCCTCCTGGTGGTGATCACGGTGTTTCTTGCATTTCCTGTCCACTGGTAGGTGATCTAGGGGCTTGCAGAGGTTCTGGTGAAGGCACTATTTAAACATCTTGCCCCGTGTGGGATATAACGCTACACACACACTTCATAGCATTACACAGCATATGTGCAGTGTAACAGAAATGCCGTTCAGAAACAGGTGAGGGGAAACATTAGGTGAACCATTTCAGAGAAATTTCTGCTGGTCCAGCTCTTACAATGTGCTCTGTTTTTACACCTCGCATGATGCTTAATCCGAAGCAAGATCACTGCTCTCTACGACACAGAGTCTGCATTCCACATCTAATTCTCGTTTAAAGGGGAGAAAGTGGAGTAACCAGATAGCCCAAGAAAAAAATGGTTTCTCCCCGTTTATTCAGTAGCTCAGAATACACTTAATTTAACTCTTCTTGCTTGCTTCCGGTACTTGAGTTTCATGGGCTAGCCTGGGAGCCTTGGCCAGGCTTTTTAACCTTATGTTCATGGGAAGACCAGAAGGGACAAGGTGTTCAGGACGTGTGAGAGGATGTAATGCCCTCGTGTGGATATGAGCTTGCTTCTCTCTGCTCCTGGACCAAGGTGCTTCTCAGGTGCCTTGTCATCTTCTCTACCTTATGAGGTTTGCTCCCCACATGTAATGTGTAACACACACGCGCACATTGTCATTGGCAGTTCGTCACTGATAACTGGTGATGAACACAGGTATTGTCATGGCAACAGGGGGCCATATTGTGTTTCCTTTAAAGTTGCAGAATTTTCTTTTAGTTTATTGGGGTTAAATAATCTCTTGTTTGGCTTGCTGCTTGCTTGTTGTTCTTAACCCTGAGGCAATATAGGCAGTATACTCCTGACGA